TACCATTTTATTTCACATTTGCTCAGCATGATCTCTGCACTATTGGTACCTGATACAAATTCTCAGATACCGCAGCAACTAATGGCACCAAATGGGCTGAAGGAATGCTGCTCTTAGCTGTGGTGGTCAGTACCAAGAAGCTACTTCTATAAAACCTTGAGTACCCACCAAACCATGGTCTGGAACATACTTGGCTGCTCCATGAAAAATTCCAGCAGGGCATCTCAGTAAGCATTAAGGGCTGTAAGAAAGTAGATCAGCAAGACCTCCAGTAATTTTAGGTACTATACTCTGCTGTGCCAACTCCTTTTCAAAGGCTTATCCCAAAGACCAAGAAGAACATTTTAACTGAGAGTAACAATCATAAACTTCCCAAAAGGCTGCCTTTCACCTCATTTTACTGAGCTTCAGGACCTTGCTTAAAAACCAAGAAATGCACAAATGCTTCAAATAAATACTCCTAAAATAACACCACAGCAAAATCACAACTTATCCCTGTTTTGAACTCTCAACAAATGGATTTAAAAAATGAGGGACAGAAAAGACTACCTTGTTTGGAAAATTTCAGCTCAAAGAGATACAGTTAAGCCTAAATTAAAAACAGTAAGAGTAAGAAGACCTGCTAAGCAACCCCCTAGTTACAAACACCACCTATGCTTACAAATAGACCAAAAAATAGGTTTCAGAAAGACGTGTAAGCCGATAGCACAAAATATCTGATTAGTAAGACAAGAAGAATGCCTACCTATTGCACAGACTGGTGATATTCTGAGAACACAGTATTCACATTTAATATCAAAGTTTTTCAATTTCTCTATGAAAACAAGGGTTGAACAACCAGAAACAAAAAACTATTCACTTTTATTCTCACTAGACAAAGGAATTTGAATGCTTGCTTTCAGAACTCTCAAGCATAGGAAACACACATTGTTAAAAAACGGGTTTGTTTTTTTTCTCATTTACCCAAATTATTTTTAACTGAAAAGACTTCACACTTTTTAAAGTCATCTGCTCTATTATCCACTCCTAATTTATTTTGATTTGTTTAGATGATTAGCCATGCTGAAGGCACACAAATTCCACTCAAGGCTACTCTGAAGACCTGTTATGCAAAATGAGTGAGACGGCAAAAGATTCCTCATCAAGAATTCACTTTCTGGTATAAAATCAAAGTCCCAAAAATTGTGATGACAGAATATGCTTGTATATTCACACACATTCATGTCCTTGTACAAAGGACAACTGTGAGCAGCTTAAATATTCAGAAGTCAACCTTCTAATTGAACTGTAGGCTATCAACCCTCAGTAAGACTTTTCTTGACATAAGCAAAATACAATTCTACTGATAAGCTTGGTAAAAACATCTGAACAAATACTAAGAAAAGACAAAAAAGGGAAGTATGATTTTTTTGAGAGCTCTCCTTAAGGGAAAACCTAGCCAAACTTTCAACTTTGAAAAGGAGACACCTTTGGTGTCTAGCATGTGGAAAGAAATTATTAGGTTACCAAGATGTTATAATAGCATAGATTAAATTACAGTCAAAGTATTAAGCTGAATTTTTGAAGGTTCATTGTTTTCATTAATTTTTATGGAAGTGCAGTGTCTGATGATGAAAGCACCAGGAAACAAACAAGCAGATACAGATATATGAAAAAAAATAAATCAGTAACAGAGAAACTCAAAAAAATCACATGAACTCTAAATTCAAGTCCGAGAAATCTATAGTTACAGAAAATCAATGGGTTATCATAAGCAAAGCTCTGGAAATTTTTCAGACAAAAATGGCTATTCAACTGGCAGCACTTTGGCCTGTGAACTAATGGGATACAAACTGCTTTTGCTTGGAGAACAGTAGTATGGGATAAACTGGCTATGCTAATGTTTCTGGTGAATCTTTTTCTTTCCCATAAAAAAGGGGGTGGGGGTAGAAAAAGGCAAGCCACAAATACAGCATAATAGCACAGTTCAATCAGAGCTTTAAAAACAAGCTACAGATACTCAAAAAACCTACACCTGAAGTGAAAATAAACTATGTACAAGTATCATTCAAAAATACATTCTTTGTAGGCATCAGACAGTGAAACTGCCAAGAGTTAGTGCTTATAGTACCTCATCCATTTAGAAAGAGTTGCAATTATTACTAAAAAGTAAATATACCTTTCTCAGACTCCATAGTTTAGCTTTTCTTTCTATTCTTATGGCATTATAAAGTTCCCAGGGATTGGGAAAAACCTCACCTTGCTGTCCCTCTAGTATTTCTTATGAGCCAGAAATTCTAACCCTGAGAAGGCCATACTGCTGGCAGTGAATAAAAAGGAGTACATGTGCAGAGCATAAGAGTAGTTTTGTAGTCACCAATATAAACACACATTTACTGCTGAAAGTGAGGGAAAGGTCCTTCTCTCCTTTCAGTTATTTCTTCTGATCCTTATCTCGCACCACCATTAGTCTTCTGGCTCTCCAGACAGTGGCACCATCAGTCTGTTAAGTTCAGCCGAAAAAATGTTTTTCTCCTCTGAGTAAATTTTCAGCTGAATCAATTATCTGATCTCATTTGCTGCACGGGTAATGTGCTTAGAAGTCTCTGAAAATGCATCGTTAAGATGCAGTCAGGACTGGCTGTGGTTTTAATCTGTAGATTTAAAGCAAACACAGAACACAGCTTCACATACTGCCCAAGTTCATGTGAACTCCAAAAGAGAGAAGAAAAAAAAAAAAAGAGAAAAAACCCAGAATGAAAAACACCAACACATTCACAGCTCTACCAGAAACACAGCTGTGGGAATCTTCAGCATTGCTGTTGACATTTCTGCAGGCCGATGTCTCTGCTGAAGAACTTGACTGCATGGCCAGTTCCATATTCATTACAGCAGTGATCTTAACCAGATACTGTGCAATCACAACAAATTTAATTTCTCTTCAATTTCTCAGACTCTTCTGCAAATTTAAGCTCCACAGTTATACCCATTAGGCCCCTGAGTTAAGATGAATCACAAAGAACGTAATTTATGAAGAGGAGTGTGATAGGCAGAGGAAACTTGGCTAAGAACCAAGGTGGAAGAGAGATGAAATTAAAATGAAGGAATGACCATTTCCATTAGGGAAGAACACTATCACAATTACTAATTGCAAAACACTATAAAGTACTCAAAAAACTAAAATAATTTTGCCACAGTGAAAAGCACATTCTCACCTTTATCTGCTCCTGCCCAAACACTATTTTTTGCAGAAAGACGGAAGGTCTTTCAAAGCATTCATTCAGTGATTTCCCCCAGTCAGTTATTACAGACTGATAGCTATGCTCTGTTTTTACCCTCCCCAAAAGAGCCTCACCCAGAGGACACTACTTCAATATGTCGAACTTGTTCTAGTGTCATATCCAAAATGCACAACAGAAAGCAGCAATTGCCAAGAATTTTCTGACTCATTTTTTTAAAAGGTAATCACTAAAGCCCATTTATCAAAAAGTTTTTGCAGAAAAGGCATTCATTTTGGCAGGGTGGAAAAACAAAATAAAAGACTGTCTTAAAAAGATTACCAAGTGTAAGATGGAAAATAAAAGATGTTCTGCCCAGTACAATCAATAGCTCAGGACAGAGAAGGATTTGCAAAATCTAAGCTCAAATTTCTACTGTGCATACATGTGAGAGAAAGCAGTGTTTTGGAATGATTTTTCCAAGAAACGTGCTCTAACACAAGTTCCTGACTGTTGGGGAAGCTCAAGTAACTAAAACCAACCATTTTACTGCAGCAGACTGAAAAACATAAGATATACATAATCTATTACAATATTTGCCCAGGGGATCTGATCTCTCCAATAATTTCTTTTCTGTAAAGCTGGTTTTTAGAGTAAATAAAAATATGATAGCATCATTTTATTTTTCAGTCACGAAAGATGCTCACGGTGTTCCTGTATATAACTAAGAGACACAGCATGACCCGGGCCCCTCCAGCTTTTAACAGCGATATTTGGATCAAAACAGCATCAAAACACCAATGTGTAATAAAATATTCCAAGTTCTATGACAGAGATGGAAACAAACACTTTCAACAAAGCACTGGACAGAGTGCTGTCACACAGCCCCTCAAAACACACTGGAAAAGCTTTTAATCTTGTAATTAAGAACCCAAAACTAACTTACAAGTAACACAAACACAAATCGGTAACTTACAAGATTAAAACCCTTAAGAGACATTTCCTGACTTTCTATCCTTTTTTATGGGTGCTTATTTTCTGCTCTTCCACTGCCTCCCCTTTTTTGCAACCAGAAGGCAGTTCCTCTTCTCAGAGTTTTCAATCCCACTGATCACATCAAATGTTACAAATTGCAGACAGGAATTAAAAAACACCACCTGCTTTAACACGACATAAGCATTACCTGCTAATAGCTGGGACCAGCTAATAGCTGGCAATTGTGGCTTTTACCTATATTCTTAGCTAGGCCTAAAGACACTGAGTCCTCAAACACATTTATATAAGATAAAAAACATTCTGCCTGCCTGCTGTCATTTTTTGTTTGTTTGTTTCCTTCACAAAACATCTATTGGAATAGCAACCCTATGGTCTTAAGAGGTGGGGCAAAGGAAGCTCTTTGTCAAATAAGCATTGACTTTTTTTTCTTTTTTTCATCCATACAGCATTCAAACATACTGAACATCAACTTGAAATATATGCTCTATATAAAAAAGCAGAATAAAATGTGAAACGCTTTCTGCAAAGACTAACCTGTGATGATAAGACATTCATTGTGATCCAGGACTTCAGTGATGAGCCTTGATACAATCAGTTCTGGGTTGATTAAAAATCTGATTTCTTCTTGTACTAGTCCTGCCCCAGTCACACCACCTCCAACAAAACGGTTTGCAAAGTCAACCTAACAAAAATATGTTTAGGATTGTAAGATAAACAAACAACATAAGATCCTTTCATTTACCAAGGTAAATAAAGTCCTGTAAAAATTTCAATAATTCTGTTAAAATCTGCTGCTCTCACTGAAATATACAAGGAGCAGGACAGAGTGTAATTAACAGCATGCCTTTTTCTTTTTTTCCTTTCTACTTCTCAGAAAACTTAAGACAAGAGATATTACACAGCAAAATAAAGTTTTGAACTCAAACACTCTGAAAATAAGTTTTGTGGGTTTTCTCTGAAGAGCACATACTTAAAAGACATTTCAGTATATGTGAAAAAAGTAAATGATTGGGGTTTTTTTTGCATTTTATGGACATTGAAGAATGATTACGTTATCCTTTAATAGGCATTCTGTGCCAGGTGTCTACACTGAAGCATTTGTGGATTAGCACTGACCACGTACTAGTTGCCCTGTACCAAAAAGAATCTCTTACGAGTTCTCCCTGAAATGCACTTGAACAAGGCCAAGTCATTTTGATCATTAAAGGTCTCTGCTTGAAACAAGCTCTGGACTCTCTGCTGCAATAATGAATATTTTGCAAATGACATTTTTATATAGGCAACAGATTAAAAAGGATTTTGTTTATTCAATAACATTATTATAATTTATGCAAATTACCTGCCCACTTATTTTTATAATTTTACAAAGTCTCTTAATCTTTCAAATGCTGTTAGCTTCTTACTGATTTTCTTTTAGATAGCTGATGAGAGCACACTTATAGGAGTGGAACAAGATTTGCTGGAGTGACATGAGCAACTGCGTAGGCTACAAACTGATTTTCAGGGAGTCAAGTCTAAAGACTCTCCATTACCAAGTGTTCCTGAAGCCTATCCTGGAAATACCAATACACTTCAGTTATTTAAAATCTGCTGGGTTTGCAAAAAATAACATGAGAACTACCCAAATGTTCAGTGGGTCAAGCACCTTAACTGCACTGAGAAGCCTCACCTTGAGCCACCAGACGCGGCCCTGTACACACACCCTTGTCCTGGACCTCTCCTGAGGCACATCGTGCACGGGTCCATGCCCAACCCTATCCTCTGCTGGTGCCCACTTGCTGAGCAGACATTTAGGATTGACCTTGGTGACCTGACTCATCACCTTGCTTGTTTTTTGTTTTGATGACCACCAGCCCATCGCAGAAATTATTATCGTCACCATCCCTGCTCTGCTCGTCTCAGTCAGAAACCCTGTCAAGGCATGGGTCACTGTGGACTCCTGCACTATCTTGGTCAACCTGCTCCCTCTGGAGTGAACATTCTGTCTGAGCAGAGGTATTTTGTTTGATGAGACTTCAAATAGCCAGGAGGAAAACCATCACATCCCAGCAATACTCACTTTTACAGAGGACAACAGAATCACTACATGAAAAGGCATAATTCAACCTTCTCTCACCTCTGAGGTTCTACTATAGTTAGAGATATAGCAGAAAAATGGTTATTATTGAGCAATTGCTGAGTTCTTAAATTTAATACGCATTTGAGTGCTCAAGTTTTGTAAAGTCATGAGACATTTTAAAGTCTGAGCAAAATGCATTGCAGCAAAGAAGTCCTATTCTCCCTTCCTCTGCAGCACTTGCTCCTGGGTAAAGAAGCTGTAATTTTTGTTTGGTAAATGAACTGTAGAATGCAGACTTAAAAAAAAAAAAAAAGCAAAAAAAAAAAGCAAAGCCCAAACAACTAATTTGAAAACTTGAATATGTTCCTTGCTAAAGATATGGACAGGACATCTTCCTTATGAATTTCTTTTGCTGACTGGTCCTCAGACTGAAACAGTGGTGCTGGCAGCAGCAACAAAGTCTCTTGAACTACTGACCTGGTCACTGCCTGGGGCACAAGAATAGTTTTTTTAAAATAAACTGAAACCCTTGACAACTCATCAAGATCACAGCCGGAAACTTTTATCTTGTCAAACTTTGATCCAAAAGACCTGAAGCTGTGCAGGGCTTGTTGTTTTCTGTCAGCTCTTTCTGTACCAGGTACATGTGCAAACCTAGGTGAGCTGGGGAATATTGACAGTACTAAGACTGCCCATGGAATTAATATTGATGTTCCTTTTACACTGCATAACATCTTGTCATATAAGTAAATTGAGGATAAACAAATAACTTAGCTAATCTGGCAGATCATGAAGGCATGACAAAACCATTAAATAAAGCCACATATGCTGTTATATGTGCTTACCTGTAGCATACCTTGTCCATTGCTTTCGATAGTGCCTTCATAGGTGACATGCAGTCTAGACAATTTTTTCTGAGATCTATCATTGAGGAAAAATATTGTACAGAAAGGGTGATTACCCAACCTCCACACAGACATCCCTTTTAAAAGCAAACCCACTGAAGCCCAGAGTTCTCTCCCACCTTAAACGTAAGGTGGTATAAATAAACCCTGATGGATTAAAGAAAATGCATCTTCATTTCAGAATCAATTTGTAAAGGTTTAACATAGTCAATTGTTCAGTTTCTCCACCATAAACCCTCAAATTTTAAATTGCAGTTCTACATTTTTCACACACGTTTGTCGCACATTAACTTGCTTATCAGCAAGCAAGCTGCAACACTTGTGCTTTCATGCTGGTTATCACCCATGCTTCATTATATTTCATGTCATTTCATCTCTCCCTTTTTTCCCCACTCATGCAACAGCACCAAAGAAGTGCTATTGTTCTAAAAATTCACTTAAGACTTGTTGGCTACACAGGCAAACAAACATACTGGAAAATCCAGGGCATTCAAAATGCTTGTGACAGTTCATCCTCTTCCCTCTGTAGTTCTCTCAATAATCCACATGAAACATTGTTTTGCATAGCATTTCCAGGCCTGAATCAATTTAATATAAATGGGATTCAGTTATCCTTGATTCAATAAATTTCTTACATTAACAGGATGTTTGACTTACCTTTCCCAGTCTGGAAACTCCTGGAGACACTGCCTCGTAAACGTTACCAATCCTGTAGGTTCTACGGGCAAAGCAACCCCAGAGGAAAATGTATTAACTGCTGGTGCTTTAGACCTTGGATTATTTTAAGTGGTAAGGTTTTAAAATTACAACAAACATCATTCTTGGCAGAAGCACAAGAGCTTAACTTCCCTCAAGAGCAGCTTTGAATATTCCCCTGACAGCCCATGCTCAAATTGAAAAGAATTAAAATTAAAACAAAAATATTCACTTCTCTTCTCCTTTTGGAGTTTGAGTATTTTTCTTTCTCCAGATCTAGGAAAAACTATTTTCAAAAGTGATTGTGAACACAACTATGAACAATTTGTCATTGCAGTAAATTAAAATGTGCCATGACTTGGAAAAAAGAAATTGTGAACCTCTAGAGGTGACAACTGTTCAGTATCAACAAGCAATGCACCAAGAACTCAACCTGTGGATGAATTAAGCAGCAGATCATATTTTCAAGGAAGTCCTACTGCATCAATAAAGGTGCAGTGTTAGTGGATTCTAAATCAAGCTGTTTTCAGCCCTGCCAAGATGATAGTGAAATAAACTGTGTTTCAACTGAGAAGACTCCTGCCCTCAAGAGTAAAAGAGGAGACATTGCTCATTGCAGGAACGATGCATCATCATCCTCTCTTCTTATTTTACTCAAAAAAGTCCAGTTTTGTAATAGAAAGAAAATATCAACCCTTCCTTAGGTGATACCATCCTAATAAAAACTTAATTTGAGAACAGCTTCTTTGCTCCAGTAAGTCTTCTGTGCTAGCTTATGAAAAACATTCAACACAGTACGTAAAGCACAAACACACCTTTTCAAAAGCTTTAAATAAACCTATGCTTTTCATCAAAATTATAGGGGTTTAGGGGAAAAAAAGGGTTGTGTGCCCTGAAGAGAAAAAAAAAGGTGCACAGCTTTCAGTAATCAAGTGCTTTTCTACAAGGGAACTTTGATATTAGTGGCAATGTTTTACAAATTGAGCATTTGTCTTCTGAGCACAAATTCTTCAGCTGATATAGTCTCCACTGTGTTTTCTTACAAGGAAATTAATTATCATCAGTAATAAAAAGACTTGCAAAATTATTACAGCTTTTATTTATAAAGCTAAGTTACTTCAGTCTCAGCAATTCCTTGGACAAAAAAAGAACAAGAAATGGGGTCTTTCAGAGACACGATTGGAATTTTTAGTTCAAGAAAAAAGCATTCAATCTCCTTAAGTATTACTTAAAGTTATAATCTAATACAGTAGTTCCATAAAACATGTTCCCAACAGATTTTATATGCACAGGAAGTCAGGCAGAGCTGCATAAAGTTAGGATTTGGTTTGCATGAAAATATAATCACTCAAGGTTAAAAAAAGCTAGTACACGGAATCTCTTCTCGGTCCCTCATATAGATCACAATTTATTTTTTACCTCAGAGATTTTGTTCTATTGACATTGCTGAAATTTTAGAGCTGAAACAGGATGTAGCTGCATTTAATTTGTGGTGAAACGAAATGACGAACTGAATAGATTGAAACACATAAAGGGATTTTTATATTTAATAGTTTAAAGCTGTCATTCTTTTAAAACAAACCCCTGACAGAATATGAAGCTGAAATACTGTCAGGTAAATAAAAAAGCTCTTTTAAAGAAATACTTTAAGGATATTGTTACAGATGTGATGTGTGCTCCTGCAGTAAAACATCTTTCCACCCTGGAATAGAACACATAAGCTCTGAACCACTTCTCACAAAAATAAATCTGTTTTTGAAAGCTTATGCAGACGTTCAAATTCATGGTGAGAGAAGATATGACTATGCACACTAATGAAATTACCACACTCGCTTCTAGGAGATTTGGGAGATATCTCATATCTCCATTTTATTTGAATGGGGCAAACTTCACAATAGCTTTGCTTTGAGGGAATATGAGGGAAAAACCTGAAGTATCAATACAAGTATGAAAAAAATCCCTCAGAAGTGCAGGAAATATGAAGCTTGATTCTATGATCTTTAAGCCTATGATTTTAATGACTACACGTGGTGCCAAGTGCCCTCCACACTCTCACTTTGATGCAGTGCAGCAAGTAGGTGCATAGATTACAAACATACATATGTGTAATGTATATACACACATCTTATATATCTGTGTATTTATATATATGAAGGGGGGTGAAAATACATCTTACCTATTTTCAAAATCCCCTTACACATATATCTCAGAAAAAAGGAAACAGAATAATCTCTCTGCAAAAATTTAACTGCATGCATCGCCTCTATGAGAGGTGACACTAATATGAACATCAGCACGCTTAGCAAGCTGGCTTTTGTTATGCACTTCCATCACAATGCTGCAGAGCCATTTCTAAATTTAATGGGATTAAGTTTTTAATGTATTTCCTTTGTAGGTCAATAAAGAGAATAAAGGATATATACTTTTTTCTGTGACTCTCCTAAAATAGCAGAAAAGAGTCTTAAGTTTCTCAGGCTTCCTTGGTGACCGTCCTTCAAACAATCTGAAAAACAAGAAATCAAAGCAATTACATTGCTTGCAGGAATACAGTGCAGAGTAATTAGACGACTTGCTAATTCTTATTTATGAACAATTATGTACGTATTTTTATTAGCTTTGCGTTTGAACACTCTACTGTGAAAACAGTTCTCTAGACAGCCCCTCTGTAACACTGTACTTTGGGAGTAACAAATTAACTCACTTGCTCAGTTTCTGATGAAGATGCCAAGTGATTGCCTCTCTCATTCACACTGATTTTGTAATACCAAAATATAGAATTTCAATACGAAAATCCAGGAAAACTACTAGTTTTACTTGCAACAGTCTGACTTGCATTAAAATAAGTGACCAAGGGCTGAAAACATGTATGTTGAGTACTTCAAAATCCAAATGCCTTACCCTACTTTCAGATCAGTGAATTACAGAGAATAATTAGCACAATCATACTGCTTACACGAGTTGTACTGCACCAGCAGCATTTCTGAAGAAAAAGAACCTACCCCCAACAGAAATGGCTTCACCCATTGGGCTACTACTGGCATTCTAACATTCATTTGTAAAAACCTAGGCATTAAAAAGATGCAGCCTATTTTAAGCCATTAAGTGAATGTATTCTTTTAATGTTAGCTGAAATACTTTTACTGCATCATCTATCTTCCAGCAACTTGAACACACATTACTTAATTTCATTTCCAACAAAATGACAAGGCACTCTTATTGGCAACACATAATGGAATTTATCTGGAAGGAAAAACAGCAATGACTTCAGAAATAATATCCTTTGAGTAGGACATGCACTAAAAGATGTCTGACACAGTAAAAACCCTGAGGATGTAAGATTCACCCCCAATAAATAGTCTAAGTAAAGAAATGACACAACATGATTCATTTGTTCCCATGCACTGGAATGACAACCTGCCTTTAAACCAGAATGCTGTGAGGTGAATTTAGCTTTTAGTAGTGAAGTGAACTAGATTTTTTCAGTATTTAAAAATTCTCATGAAGTATACATGCTGAAGCAATCAATTCCATCCAAAAATCTATTATAAGTCACAGAAGCTACTTTTAAAAAAAATTAAAAGGTTATATGAAAAAAAATATTCTTTGAATAATAAATCAGGACTCTAAGAAAGCAAATTCCAGATTTACAGTCTATTTCTAAATGACCAATTAAGAAATTGTATCAAGGGGTTGTGCTTGCACAAGTAATAAGGGATCCATAAAAGAAAGAGTTGATGCGTGTGGTGTGCGCAGGTCTTCCCTACGTGTACGAATTGTCTCTGATCTTCTATTTGGACACCTCATTTGGTATGAATTCTTTAAACTGGTTAATTTACCTATTAGCCCAATCATGCCTTTATCAGTTTTTTGTCTCTCTACATCAAACTGAAATCTTGCTTATGTTGCAAACTCTCAGGAGAGAATTCTTCACTGCAATCAAAGGTAGATTAATGACAATTTGCCTTTGAAGAAATCTCATTTACAGCAAGTAAATGCTCCCAAAAATACCATATGAGATCACAATAACAAGGAGAGATCTATGTATTTCTGTTCTAGCCCTATATGGCTGGGTAAAAGCCACAGAGCAGCACAAAAGAATTTGAAAAACTCTGGGTGGTATTAAAAATTATCTGAATTTTGATCTAGTAGCTATATATATTCTGTAACTAGATGCATCAGATCTCTTAGAGAGTTAGCCCAAGAGCTCTTACCATCCTTTTCCTCCTCACACTATTTGCTTTGCTTCACTATGATACAATATAGTGTACTTTTGTATTTGAAAATTCACTGCTAAATACAGAAAAATATATATTTTTAATGATATATTAAAAACAAAAGCAGGCAACACCAGTCTTGAACACATATTTTAGGACTGAATTCACCAAATGATGTTTGTCCAAACCAGAATGCACTCATAAGAGGATAGTAATTTTTGGCAGGTTGAAGACACCATGTTTTAAATGAATATGCTTGGACTTAATATTTTCTGTGTCTAGCATTTACCTTTGTTAGTGAGCTAGAGGCAAACTGAAGATGGCTATCTGCAAACATACATTATTACATATATTTTGCAAAATACAAACCACTAGCATATTACTTGCATATTTTCCTATAAGCAGACCAAGGAATTCTTGTCTTCAACTATTTCAGGTAAAAGTGCATGACAACAGTAGGAATTTGTTTTAAAGGCCAATCAGACCAGTGGAAAAATCCCCATGGATTTTAACCTGCTACAAATTAGCCTTAAGCCCTCAGACTATCATATTACTGAAAGTTACTGATCTTAATTTGGTTGAGTTTGATTGCTTCATAGGTTCTTTTAAATCTCCACAGAAATCACGTCACAATGACATCAATGATTCAGAAGACTTCTACCAAGCAGTTCTTCAGTAAGAAGATAAAACAAGAGAAAAATCAACACCCCCCCCATGAACACACAAAGGCAGCTAAACTTTCTTAAAAGCAGCACAAATGAACCAATCATCTTTCCAAATGTAACAGTAAAAGCCCTATTTACAAAAACATAAAATGACCCAGTACTGTCCCATTAAGTGAGGATATAACATAGCAAAGATTTGAACATTTTAACCTTGAACGTTACTTCTGAAATACTCAATTAGGCACAATTATAAGTACTCTTATTTCTGAAGCAAATGTCTCTGTTTTGAAGAACAAAACAAGATGAGGCGACATTAGTAAGATACTGACTTAAAATTCCTCTTCAAGCTCTGAGAAACAGATCCTACTAAAAAAAAAAAACACCCAAAAGTGTAAGTGGAAACCACATAATCAATCTCCTGCCAGAGGAACCCAAGGCCAAACCCCATTAATTCCAATTAAAGAATTCATTCAAATGAAGTGCACGGTGAATCAAACGCAAAGCCCTGCAAGCCCACTTTCAAAGTAATTGAAATAATACTGGCAACTGCAAATGTAAGCTGTTTTGCTTTGTACACAATGTTCCCACTGCCACGCAGCTAACTTCCATTTAGCAGATACAGGAGCAAGAAAGCCTGCACAGCCGATCACCAAACACAGCTGCAAATTTTATCACCGGCTTCCAAGCCAGGGTAGTGGCAATTTCAATGAAATAAGACCTCTACAGAGATACACTTAATTATTTCAGAAATCAAGGTCAGAGACTTAGAAACATAAGGAAGCAGGTGTGTAAACAGCATCATAAACACAAAGCAGATTGTTAAAGTCACTGTATCTAAATGAAGACTTTTTCCTAGCAAATATTCAGACACTCAAGTAAATTGTTCTGATGCTAAATCCCATATATGAGAAATAAAATATTTAAAACAATAACTAATATTGGGGAAAAAAATAAAAAATTACTCAATACTTGTTAGTAAGCACGCACTAAAGCTACAAGGCAATAGTTTTTGTAATAATTAAAATAATATAAACATATGCATTTGTTTTGCATTAGCATTTTCTTAAAATTTCAGGGTGGAAAAAAGTCTCATTGACTGGAAACTCAAAATGGTCTTATTTCCAATCAGCATTTCCACCTTAGAAATCTGGAGCCAAAAGCTCTAAAGTACCTGCTTCTAAGCACTCCTTTGAGTGCTGAGGCAAGAGGCAAGGGGGCATTTCCAATGGTGCAACACCAACACGATATAAGAAACTTCAGAGCTCCACAAAAGTGACCTTGTGTTGCATTTAGTTTACTGGGGAAATGTTGAACCAGCTTGAGCAAATAGTTCTGAAATACACTGTTTCTAATTAAGGTATAATTAAAATACAGTAGTTTGCTTGTAAAATTTAGTTTCCAAGGAGCGAACCTGATCCTTTGGTGTTACTTGAAGAACTGGCTGCAGTAATTTTCACAAGCAGAAGGAGCCATTACAATAATATGGTTTAACTTTCCAGTTAAATAATTTCCTATCAGTATTGCCATTCCCAGCCTGTATCTTCCCATTCCCAGACTAGGTTTCCTTTGAATGTCTCTCTCGAAGGAGTATAGTAACATCCTTATATTGAAATCTGAACTAAGACTCACAGAGCTGTCCATGCTGTAACAATATGCAAAAGTTTACAGTATGGATCATTCTTCAAATAATACTTCCCATTCATAAATCCAAGGCATTTCATGTGTGTTATTTGCAAAAGTCTGGATACACAATCTTATACTTGCCCACAATTCACCATGTGTGCTTTTTCTTAACTACAAAAGGCAGTAAAAAGTGCCTTTTTCTTTACCACTATAGTTGAAGACACACTTGTATTGTTTCTTCTATTTTGGTCTGATCTCACTGAAGATAAAGTAGCATCTAAGCAAGCACAAGACATTTTACTAAAACCTCCTTTTTCTCCTACCAAAAAAAGCGGAAGGATTTTAAACGAAGAGGCATGGATAGATGAATTTCACTCAGTAAAGGGACTGAGCAGGGAGAAGGATGGAAAACTAAGGCAGAAATAACAATATTGTATGGACATCACCTTCAGTTTCAAGAACAGAGCTAATCACTAAGCAGAGCTTTAGCCTAACATATAGAACAACAAAACACTTGGAAAAAAGAACAAAACAAGCACCTTGCTTTTCATATCTTGCTGCATTTTAAAGCCTAGGATTATCCAATACATACATGTAGGGGTGGAAATACTATGCTTGTGTATGTTATTGCCAAACTTTTATTACTCTCCATACTATTTGAGGGCTATTTTCATTAAAAGGCTGGGCATGCTCAGTTGCTAGCAATCTCAGTGGAAACAACTACAATTTCATACTGATACTTTGAACCCTACAAGAAAAACTAATACATTGTTGAATGGCACAAAATACGTTTCATTTGAGATTACAGGAGTTGCACTGGGGAGCTCACAAGAAGCACCTTTTGCATCTTTCTCCTGCAGTATTTTTCCCCCAGAAAAGAAAAAGTGGAGTTCCAAAAACACAAGAAGAAAAATAAAACTCTCCCTTTCCCAAAAACAGTGTCATATTTGTCATGAAGTATTTTTTTAAGCTTTGCTTTGCAATGCTAAGCACCATTGATC